GTGACTCATAGCTATCTTCTGTTGGTTCGCCTCCCAGATGAGTCGTTGACGTCTCATCTCGTCAACATTGAACGCTGGTGTTTCGCTGCCTTGTCTGTTGACCTTTGATTGCAGGGAACTGGAACTGGAGTTGCCCGAGCGAAGGTTGCTCAAGGCACCTAGGCTGCGGATCTTGCGCAAGCCTCTTGTTTTTCTCCGGTTGCCTCAGAAATGGATTTGTTGTCGGCAGCCTTGACTTCCGCAGTGGGAGGCACCATCTCGTTCACCTCAGTCTTGCTGCGGCCGATGTTTCTAAGCTCCCGGGCGATCTTCTCCAGCGTGCTGCCGGTGCGAGCGATGTTCATGGATCTCTTCGAGCGTAGCTCCCGTGCTGGCTTCTCGCTGTTGCCGACATTGCTGCTACTGCTGCTGGTGGAAGGCCGACTCTCTGTTGAGCTGAAGCTCATACCGGAGTCCACCTTGCGACCGTTCCTCTTCGTGGTGTTCGCAGTGATTGTGACGTCGTCGATGTCGACAATCTCCGCGCATTCCGCAATGATGCTATTAGCTACCTGAAGATACGTTTCCAGTGTGCCACGCACAGCAGCCCAGCCATTCTTGTCGGTCGGCTTCTTGCCTTGTTGCATAAGGTTGACTAGAACCCTGGTGCCGCTCTTCTCCACGCCCTGGATGTACTTGAAGAAGCCATCGCGTTGACGCTTTAGGATGGTAGGAGTTAGCTTCGAGGTTGGTTGCGAAGAAATTGCAGGTGGGTAGAGAGTGTTAAGCATGGCAACGCAGTTGTGCTTGTTGAAGGGCGTGAGTGAGAGTTCGTTGATGAGGATCTGGAGCTGCGTTAGAAAATTTCGGAAGCCTATCAGTGACGACAAAGCATACCCATCTCCGTAGTCCAACGTAGAGCTGCGTGTACAGTGCTTCAACTTTGCGTTCCTTGTCCTCGAGGGATTTGAACCAAGAGAGAACGCCGGGATAATGTTGAGTAAGCTCGTCTTCTGCTGTACCAAGAGTCTCGCGCCGGATTCCTAGACGGTTGAGCGCCGATGCGATCTCTCTTCTTCTCCGTGTCTCAAGATCCTTGAGGTAGTCTAACCCAGTCAGAGACTGGGGAAATCCACAAGGGTAAGGTCGGCTGCGAAGCACTTCATGACGAAAGACGTGATGAAGCTCGGCGGAAGGGAAGTGGGTTGATTTGGCATTTGAGACAGTTGAGACATTAGGGACGAAGCGAATTGCTGAGTAGCACCGTTGCCCTTCCAAGGGGAGCCGGGAGATGTTGGCGAGTAACCCGGGCTCGAAGGAGGGCTACCATTGCGGGCCGGCGAGGGAAGAGGTTGAGCTCGCGGAGCACAGTTCAGCGTGTACATGGTCCTGAGGGGCATCTCGTAGGTTCCGGGATACGAAAGAATGTGGTCCAGGATCAACTGGTAGGAAGCACCGTGAGAAGAGCCCGAGTCGGCCGAGCCGGAGCGTGAGTGCGATGGATCGTGGTTGGCCATGATGCTGGTCGATTGTCCAGGTGAAGCGAGGCCAGAAAGAGTTATGAATCAGAAGTGAATGGTTCGAGTTGGGTCGAGTCCACGGCGACTTCAAGTAGCAGTTTGTTGCTCGGGTGGTGAATTTTGAGAAATGTTGGAGAAGCGTGGGTGTGTTTACTCGGCCGTTGGACGATGCGGCATGCGGTAGGTAAGCTGCAGCGGGATGCAAACGAAAGACGGGTTGCAGTTGGAGATTGTTGTTGTTGTCGTCAGTCAAGACTGCAACGAACGGGCAACGACAACAGTCAGTCAGTCAGTCAGTCAGTCAGAAGCAGGAAGTAGACGTGGAGAGATGAGACACGCGGGGCTCTGTCCAAACGGCTTTGGTGTGTTCCGGGTTCAGCAGTAAAGCTTGAGGAGGAAGCGTCAGGTTCTTGTGCGTGCGAAAGGTGCTTGGGCGATGGATGGCGCGTGTCTGGCCGTTGGGAGCGTTTTTGGTCTTCCCGCAGTTAACTGAGCCCTGACCCAGAGCGTAAAAACGGGGTCTTTGCCTTGACTGTGTCTGTGCAAGCAACGTTCTCTGTATGTACGCGAGCACGTCCCTGTCCCACGCCAGATGCTGGAATAGTGTGCAAGAAGACGTATGGGAGCACAAAGAACAAAGAGAGCAGAGGGAGAAGAGATCAGCTCTGCGATCAGGGACACATGGACGACGATCTAGGGGAGCCAGCGCAACAAAAGGCCCTTTGCCCTTTGCCCTTTAGGTGCTGGTTGACGGATTGCTCAGTTGATTGGATTGTCCCGCGTGTTACAGCCCGCGCGCCCTGCACCCGGCCGCTAAGCACCACGCACGGTGCTCTCAGATGTTCTCCGAGCACAAACACCATACCGGGACCTGCATCGAATGCCACTGGAACCAACACCGGCCGTCTGCGCACCCATGCCACCGGGAGCTGTGCCTTTTTGCTAGCCTTGCGCGATTTCTCTTCCGAGGCTGGCGTCACAGCCTAATCCCGGGCTAGAGGGTCGCCCACGTTTTCACTCAACCTAAGCGACTCCTCTCGGGCCTTTTTCTCACCAGTGCTGGCCGGCAATCTACACCTCAGCTCAGTGTGCGTGCCGCGGCCTGCAAGCCTGCCCTCCTGCTGCTTCTTCTTCACCACCAGCCGGATCTCGATCGCCTGAGCTGCGGATGGCACGCGGGAGACAGGAACCTTGTAGGGCGCAATGCAATCTCCCGTCTTATCTCTTCCATCCACAGTCGTCACAGCCGCTTCTTGCCTGTACCCGGCATAGACTCCTGGTCTGTCGGCCAACAACCTCGTCCGTATGTGCGGCTGTTCGTGCTATTGAAACTACTGTATGCCCGTCCCTTGCATGAGACCAGGAACTGGTCTACAAGCTGATTCGCCGTGAGGGACGCAGATCTGGCAGGCGAACAAGGACCCAGGAAAGACGAATGTGCCCTTCTTCCGCACCGTCTTTACGCCATCTGGCGGAGAACAGACGCCGCTGCTCCCCGGTTGGTAGGCTTTGAACCTCTCCACTGCAGGGGACCACATGGTCAGGACAACGGTCCCCACCGGCTGCCCCTCGGACCCGGGCATCTCTGCATGCCGGATACTGCCGCCATATGACAGACCAAATTCTCCTAATCAACTATACCAGCATGCAGATACAATCCCGGCTTTCAAACGAGCGGCAACGCGACGAAAGGAGAGACGATCTCTCTGTGCTCTACAACTGTCTTCACATCATCCAAATGGTTGTCGTTTAGCCGGCTGCACTCACCCGCTCTGCCAGACTTCGCTGTTTAGATGAAAGCGACCCTGTGCAATCTGAAACCAACGGCCTGCCCATCACCCAAGGGCCCAAGGGCCCGAGGGCAAGCCACCTCCGCGCCGCTTACATCCACGCTCGAGCAAAAGGGTTGGCGAGAAACAGCCGCCATGCCAGTTTATCAATTTCCACCATGGGAAACAGGAGGAAACCTAGCGGGTCGGCGACGCGTCTGGCCAGTCAGACTCGCTGCTTTCTCCGTGGGCCAATACGATTTTTCCAACATGCTGCGAGGGTGCGGCGCACTACTTGGGTGACGTGTTCCTTCGCGGAAGACATCAAGATACTAGGCACAGTAGTCTCGCTATCCTGAGCATCACTTTCAGAAACCGGACGGGCTCAATTCCTCCCCGGCGTATTCGTGGTACGCAAATTGCCCGACTCGCATCTCGCATGGCACCAATCCAACGCTTTACGAGCTCAACGCGTCCTCAGTACGGCCCTGAGCTGTCTATACCAGGAGGGTTTTCTATGCATAAAGTCACCGGTTGAATGAAGGCTTCCACGAGGTCTGGACCATCGCTATCTCACTTATGCATGAGCATCAATTGCAAACATCTACTCTACGTGTCATCGGTCACGCCGGACAGAGTTAGGAGATGATGCAAAGAGACTTTGCTAAGGCTTCAGAAAATACACGGCGTTCTCTATCCGGCTCTCGCAACTGAGACATTCTGGAACGACACTGAATCGCGTATCAGAACCCCACAAACTCTCCGTGCGTGCAACAGCCGGACGCGCCAAGCGAATTGGCGAAATCCACGATCAACTTCCAGCTTCCCAGTCTCCCGGTCCACGATTGGAACCTAATCTCTGGAACCCCCGAGTTGACATCCCCGCCTCGGTTACGATTCCAGTCTGCGACAACACCAGCGATCGTCCTTTCGCCTTGCGTTATTTCCCTGGGAAATTAAATTCCCCAGACCCAATATTAGAAAGGTTGGTGGGTATGACACAATCCCTCTCCCCAAGCCTGTGATAGTGGTAACGGCGGAATCCGACGGAGGGCTTATTTCTTTGCCTCAACACCGACGTATGACAGGCGAGTGGCTTCCTTGCCGTTTGTCAGCAGCGGAATAACAACCATGAATTGGCAAAGTACCCCGGCTCACCGCAATATAGATAAATAGGCTTGCCCTGCCACACCGCAATTTTCAGCGTCCCCCACGTCTTGTATGAAGCACTCTCTTCCCGTCTTACTGCATCTTGCTGCACCCTGGCCTTTGCGAAATTGCTACACGGCACGAGAGACTGTCACCTGCTCCACGTAAGGCATGTGCGCCGTTGCTTGGACAGGTATTGAAAGCCTTATCAATGCATCCTTACTCTATTCCCGACACGCCGCGATCAAGTGTGGGAATCGTATTGGACCGGTTGGAGCCTGTGCCTTGTCAAGACGGGAGCCCATGGATTCTCACCTGTCTAGGCCGGAACCAAGAGATCTTCAGTGTTCGTTACTGTTACAGCCAGACGTCGTATCTCTACAATTCCAAACATCATGCGGCGCAGAGCTGAATCGTTTGGAGACTGTCAAGTGTCGTTGTCTTTTCGATGTGATGTTGAGGTTCCGTTGTTCTGAGGGCATTATCGGATGAAGGACAAAAACAAGCGTTTGTCTATTCATGTTCCCTTCCTGCGTACAAGCAAACCTCCCCAACAGGTAGGAAGCCGAATAGTAAAAAGAGATGGTCACTACGAGGGTCGAACTCGCGACCTTGGCGTTATTAGCACCACGCTCTAACCTGCGGAAATTATTAGTGGACGTTTGAATGGGCATGTTGTGATGTGGGACGCACCAACTGAGCTAAGCGACCATTGTTATTGGATGGGTCCATGCTCTAAACCTATAGCGACCATGCCTTTCTCTCTATCAAGAGGTAAAGGCAAAAGAAGAAATGTTATGGCTATGCCTGGAATCGGACCAGGGTCGGATCGGAAGTTGCTAGTCAAAGGACCACAACGATACATGCTACCCCTACACCTGCAGGACTGTTAGCGCTGGTTGAAAGATACCTTTAGAGGGTACTAACCACATAACCTGTGGCAACGTATAGTAGGCCAAGTCAGTGAGCTGGCGCGATACCGCTTTCTTCATCTCTCTCGGGTGGGCTCGAACCACCAACCTCTCGATCGCATTGCGAGAATAACAGTCGAACGCGCTAGCCAATTGCGCCACGAGAGACATTCGGGCTGTTGCGCCTTTGGGTCAATCCAAGACAAGATTGTTGTAATACAGTTGCTGAGTGGGTCACAGGAAATCCAGCGGCACCACTTCGGACAGGACGACAAGCGAAAAGGTGAGAACAGAGCTCCAACCGATGGACCAGAAGGAGCTTGAACGTGCAAAAATGCATCAGCCGCGAATCGAACGCATCCAGAAGAAGTTCGACATTTGTCCGGAACATGTTTCTTGAGCCTCTATTAGGGGAACCAGAGATTAAAAGTGCTACGGAACAGTTGCAGCTTCATTCGAAGGCTCTGTGCGGCTCTGCGGTTCGGGCCGCCACGCTCCGCCCCAGCGTCGCAGCCTATCCTTCGCGCCATAGTCTCGTAATCAGTTCAGTACCGCGAGCGGTGGGAGTTCGATGTCGGTACCGCAACGGAGTTGCTTTTGTAGGTCGGCCAATTGTTGTGGTTGGTGAATCTTGCGAAGACTATGCTGTGTCTTGCCCCGATGACTGTGATCATCTTTGTCCCCTCTGCGCTGTGTTCTCGGCTCAAGATCTTCTTCCGGGATTCTTTCAAGCTCTTGAGCCAGGCATGAGATGCAGCCAGTCTGTGGCTTGTCGCGAATGAATGGGGACTGGAGTGGGACCGCGAGAATCAGTGAAGTCTGAGATCGGCCACCACTGCACGATGGTCGCTGACGAAGACACCATCTTCGAAAGAATTACCTATCACCGAATGTCCATCGATCGACCACCAATTCGCCTTTCGGTGACCGCAAAAGATGAAATCTATTCTTTTCAAGCCTTCCTTTCCGCCTTTACCATCGAAGCCCGTCCATGTGTACTCATATCCGTACTGGCTGTTCGAGAGTTCTCTGGTATCCTGCAGCGGCGAGTTTTCAGAATTCAGGATACAGTAAGCATCCTCTTGCTCAGTGCTGTTCAAGTCTCCCGCAAGGAAGACTGGCAGAGAGGCTGGCCAGCGTTGATAGCCAGTCCAGCTGTTCGCCTCCTCAATGATGAGCTTTGCAGCCTCTTGTCTCGCCACAACGCCCTGATCGTCGAGATGCGTGTTCATGGCCACAACTCTGCTTCTTGTCTCATTATGCTGGAAGACTCCCAGTGTCACGAGTCGAGTTGAGGATGCATCCCAGCCTTTCGATGGCCGGTCCGGAGTCTCGGACAACCAGAAGGTCTTGAAGTGCTCCAGCTTCCAGACGCTCGGCCGATACAGGATAGGCGCGTACTCGCCCGCATTCTTGCCATCGTCTCTTCCCACCCCGATGCTCGCCCATTCTTCATCGGCAACGTTCAGCCCGCCAAGAAGGTCTTGCAGCTGCTCATGAAGCACTTCCTGGAGGCAAATGAAGGCAGTCGGTAGGTAACGAGTGTGATATTTCAGTTCCGAGAGAAGTCCGGGGCAGCGGTCCAACCATGGCTTCTCACTCGGACCAGGAGATGTGTTCGCAAAGCGGATATTGTGAGTCAGTATACGTACCGCAAGAGGGGATTCAGGTGCTTTCATGTTGTTTCAGCTGCGCGTTTTGTACGTGTAGTTCTGTTCCGCCAAGGGGTCCGCTTGCGGAATACGCGACACAGCCTCCCCGAACGTGCGTTACGCGGGTATTGAATACAGGCTCTGTTGGTGAACTGAAGTATAAACAAGCATCAGATGGAAGTCCGCTTCATTGTTCGAGTTTTGCACCAAGGTAGAGTGAGGGAGCGATTGAACACGCAGCGGATGCGAAAAGATTAGTGACGTACCTTTTGCCAAGCGAATCGTCAAATGCCCCTCTGTCCCACAGTGGGGTAGGTATCGTTTTTCGAGATCGGGCAGCTACGCGCACATTCGACTTGACCCTCCTTGTCCTTGTCCTTCACCGTACACTGTAGTTTCTTTAGCAGATTAAATACAGAAACAACTTCAAGATGGCCGAAGAAGCAGCCGAGATTGGTAATTCGGCCTTTACTGCTGCATATAGCGAAGTCGGCTAATTATTCCCACTCAGATTACTCCCTCAACAACCCAGACACGTAAGTCACCGCCGGTCCAGGCAGAGGGAGCAGGGCCGCATCAGCTTACATCCCCAGCCTCACAAAGTACAAGACCGCCGCCCAGATCTCCCAGAAGGTCCTCGAAGCAGTAACAGGTATCTCGCGTGACGCCTTTCTTCAACCAATGCCATTGACTCACCCTCTTAGGATGGTGCACTGAGGGCGCAAAGATCGTTGAAATCTGTGAGCGCGGAGACAAGCTCCTCGAGGAAGAGCTCACCAAGGTCTACAAGGGCAAGAAGATTGCCAAGGGCATTGCGCACCCGACTACAGTTTCCCCAAGCTCATATGTCACACCATACACGCCTTTGAAGACCGATGCCGAAGAGGCTGCTGTTGCATTGAAGCCAGCAGAGGTGGTCAAGATCCAGCTCGGTGCACAGATTGACGGGTTCGGCTCCATTGTTTGCGATACCATTATCGTTCCCTCGAAGGCCAACGCCGATGGTCAAATTCCAGGAAGAGAAGCTGACCTGCTTTTGGCAACCTACTACGCGAATGAGCTTCTGCTGCGTCTCATGGTTCCACGCGGTCTCTTGGCTACCGGTACCGATGAGGAGAAAGAGAAGGCTTCCAAGCAGAAACCCTACAGCCAATCGCAGATTACTCAGCTGTTGGAGAAGGTTGTCAAGAGCTACGACTGTAACCTGGTGGAAAACACCACTTGCTGGCTGTTCGACCGCAACGAGATTGAGGGCAAGAAGAAGATCATCCTGGCACCGGGAGAGGGCGTCAAGGGCGAGGGTCTCGCCGATGTTGGAGAGGTCTGGGGCGTAGAGATGGGTGTCAGCTTGGGTACTGGAAAGGTCAAGACGCTCAGCAACAGGGCCACTCTGCACCGCCGTACCACCACCACATACGGTCTTAAGCGCGATACTTCCAGGAAGACTCTGTCTGAAGTGGTTAAGAAGTTCGGTACTTTCCCGTTCAGTCTACGTCAGATGGAGGACGAGCGTGCTGGAAAGATCGGTATCGTGGAATGTGTTCGTGGAGGCGTCATCCGCCAATACGAGGTCATCGGAGACAAGGACAATGAGCCTGTTTCCCGACTGTTCACCACTGTCGGTAAGTTGGGCTGGACCAACAGAGTTTGCTTGTAAAACCGTCCGCTGACTAAAGCTTTAGCCGTCACAAAGAACGGCCTCACTCGGCTGGCGGCTGCACCATCTCCAGACCTGGAGAAGTACAAGACCGACAAGAAGATCACCGATGAGGAAGTTCTGAAGATCCTTGAGCAGCCACTTGCTAAGGAGTCCGGAAACAAGAAGAAGAAGAACAAGAAGAAGAAGAAGCCTGCCAAGAAAGCCGCTGCGCCGGCTGAGGCAGAGGAGTCTGAGGAGGAGAGCAGCGATGAGGAATAGACGCTTCGGCGCATATCTAGGTCGCCTTCCGCTCGGTTGCGATCTGCTGCACCAGTCGCTGACCACGATTCTTTTCGGATGAAAGCACTCACTAGGCGGCACAATTAGGTTTATCGACTGGCACTGTTCGTAGTCCGAGCATGTCTCTTATGCCATGGTGAGCTTGGCTGGAAACATGCCATGATCTGGTCAGCATGCATTATGAAGAGTGGGATATGGTAGCAGAAGCAGATAGCAACCCGAATGAACCTCCGCTGAACAAGACCTTGCCCTTCCCTAATAATTCCTATCGCCTATCGGAGGTGAAGCGAGCAGGCACATGACGATGCACGAATGTGAACCGTCGCCCCTATTGTCGGTATTTTCACGACAGTAGCTCGAGAACTTAACAGACCTGAACCTCACTTGCAACCCCTTCCATCTCTTCGTCTTTCCACACAAACACAAGGAATCCGTTCAACTTGAATCACGACACATCGTGTGAGGCGCCCCGGAAGGTTGGTTGCGCAGGTAGGACAGGGGGTTTGCTGCAACGCAACACACGGCATCATCCGGAACATCAACCTTTCCACTTTATTAACACATCCTTCACGACACGCGCACTCACGCGACAGATCGAGCTTACGGCTCTGACTGTGTCACCCGTAGGTCTGACAGCCCTGGGTAGTTTCTAGTTCACGCGATGATTGCACAGATTCTAATCAGGAATTGCAGTGGTGTCAACAAGCAGCATGCCTTCCGCAGTCAACAACGTGAAGTCCAAACGTGGCTCACGTATCTCGAGCCCACATGCACGCGCATCACTGAGCAATGCTCACAACTCACTACCGTCCGCCGGAGACTCGTTTGTCGAACCGCCACTGGCCGCCAAACCCAGCTACGAGGATGCCCCTGGTGGAGGAGCGTATGGGGTTATGGCAGACATGCAGCCGCTGGGTACTTTGCCGAACGCAAAAGTCAAATCAAGAGTCAAGGACGCATCACGGAGATCAACGCTAGGAAAGAATGCAGGTCACATGTTGCCAGAGTCGTTGGACACCCCTGAAGGAACACCGGGTTTCGAAGCCCCTGGTTCTGCATCGCTTGCGCCGGAGGGAAACTCGCCTCCTCCATTGCCACCCACGGCCGACGACGAGAACGATGAGGATTTCATGCCCGTAGCCAAAAAGAAGAAGTCTGCGAAAAGCCGTGCCTCCAAAGGTGGTACTGCTACACCGGCAGCAGCTGCGA